CCCGATGATTGTAACAGCAGGGCATTTGCAGAACCCTCACTTCACCTGCTTTTACCTGTAGCAGATGTTGGTGTTTCTGGCTTTTTGCCTTGTGTGTGAAAGAGCTTGATATGGCGATTTTAGGGAAGCCTCGGGTCAAGAATAACCTTTGAATGTGGGAGGCCCGGGAGGTCCCTTCCGGCTCTGAGTTCCCATGAGGAACAAGAACATGACCCATAATAAAACCAACCAGCTCAGTTTATGTTGACCTTTATTTGATCTCAGCAGCATTTTTTTGTTCGTATTTCAAAACCGCGGATGTTGATTTAGGGTCCAAGTGAATTTGCAATATCATGACAAGACCCCCTAACAGCACTGAACAAAGGGAGTTTATTTGGAAGGCTGTGCTGTAGTCCTTGCTTTCTGGTTGTTAGGGTCAGTGTTATCCTTCCTTGAGAGGAGCCAGATAACTGATATATTGGCACCTGCAGTCATCAGTGGTTTAGCAGGAAGCTCCCCCACTGCCCTCGATTATGACCACTGGGTTATTGTTTGTATTGCAATGTGGCCTGTTGGCAACCACAGCCTCTTTGAGCTAGCTGCCGACAACACAGGGGGAGACAACCCCCACCCCAAGAAGCTTGTAGTCTCAATAGAGAAGCCAGACAAGGCAGAACAGACCCACAGGGAGAGGAAGGGACAGTTTTAGGTCTCCCGGCAGCACAGCCAAGACGAGAGCCGAAGTCTGTGAGTTGTGATGCATGCTCCGTCTGTGGCCTGAGCTGCTCTGCTCGGTTAGAGCTTGTGTGCGCTTCACAAACTAAATCTGAGATGAGATTGTGTAACATAGAGGGATGAAGCACCAGAGGGCAAATAAGGAACTATCTGTCACAAATTAAACAGCTTCAAGGGCGCGTCTACACCTTCATTCGGCACATTAAGTTTAGTACTTGCATAACCAAGTACTAAATTAATGCGCAGTAACTAGTGCTACTGCGGAGGAGCACCGGTGCATGGGTTTTTACAGATGATGACTGTTCAGTAGCCTACTGCTACTACGCAGTAGCGTATTAGCATGGGTTTTGCCCGGCACGCTAGTGCACAGTGTTATTAGGCTACTGCGCAGTTAACGTCTTGTGTAGACGCGCCCCAAGAGAACCAGCATCCCAAACCACCTCTGCTAGAAGTGCACGGTCAGACCCTAACAGTGTTTCGTGTAGTCCTCCAGCTGGCTGAAACTTCACCTTAACAGCACATGGTGTTTTATCTGTTTTTCTTTTCCCTGTGCAGAAAGAAATGACGGAAAGGATTTGCCACTGAAGGGTTTCCTGAAGAGTATTTGGCCTGCGTCACACCAAACCAACTTGCAATGGGATGTTGGGACAATCTGTCTCGAAGGACTGGCACTGGGGATTTGAAATTTATAGAAATATGTACTGTATAAAAGCCATATTATGGCCTGGGCAAAATCCTGAATAATATTAGGAGTTGCTGAACACAGTTGAAAGACATCCCAGTGTCTATGGACTTACTGTTTTTAGAGAACTAGTGGCTCGAATGGAATAAGATATCTTATACATGCCCATATTGTGGACTGCTCCCTGAGCCCCATGATGTCCTTCAAGTCCTTTCAACCACCCCTTTTTATCATGCTGCAGTGTCCTCAGCTTTATAAGGATCTCCTTAAACTCCGACGCTGAGCCTGGAGAGTGAAATATGTAGCTAAGTGCCGGGTATCAATGATGCCTGCCCAGAGTATTAATGCCTATTGAATAAGCACCAGTCCCAGCATGCACTAGGCTTGCTGTCAAATTTGAGATGCAATTTCTGCAATTGGTCTCTTCTTTGGTGGAGCCAAAGACCTGGTCAGAAATGTGAAGATGTCCCCGGGGCAATATAAAGCCATTCTCCAGCCACAAAAGCTACCTTGCTCCTGTGGAAGATTCGAGCCTTTCTTCAGGCCCCTATCAAGTTTGCTGTTCCCAGTGCCTGACCCAGAGCCACTTCTTTCTCTCCTTCACCGGGGATGACCCTTGTGCAGCCTTTGGGATCCCCCCGTCAGGGCTGTTTCCAGGGACAAAGGTCTGAAACTTGGAGACGAGCCCAGCATTGTCCCTGTATCGATGCTGTGCACTTCAACTAGGGGTGCCAGCCTTTTCCCCGGTGAGCTCTCCATGTATAAGTAGTTTAAAAGTGCCTACTTATCGCACCCAATTAAAAAACAGTGTACATCATCTTATTCATCTAAGTTGCATGCCCCCGGGGAATACTGCTTTGCTTCTGGCAGTAGCTTTCTCTTTCAGTGTTGAAATGATAGGTGTGGTTTTAAAACCAACTGCTCACCATTAGTTCTTCTTCAGTAGCTTCAGCATCTGCATTGCTCATCTTACAGGTGAACCTTTCATCTTGCTCATCTCCCTGAGCCGCGTTCAACAACCCACATGGGAGTGGGAACTTGGTTTCTCAAACTCAAGCCCTGGGCCTGGTTTCCTCTGCTCACACTGAGGTGAAAATGGTCTTTCTCTCCTGACCTCCCTTGAATTAGCCCTAACTCAAGCTGGTGTCAGTCGGAAGAGAATTAGTTCTTGTGTGTCCATTATATAGTGTGTCACCTGGCAACTTACTCCCTGGCGCCTGAGGCCAAAGAAATGCAGCTTCATTTTTTTCCAGAGACACGTTAGCTCCAGTGTGCTGTGGCTTGTTTAAACAACGGGCTAAAGACAGCATCGCTCGCAAGATACTGAGGGCAAAATCTTGGAGACGTGACTCAATATGCCTTCCCTTGCTGAACTTACCTGGGACCCTGAGAAAGGAAGGAGGGAGCATGGAGAAGAAACCCCAGGACCTGACTTGTAGAAAGGCAGAGAGAGCCAGAGAGGTGTAGAATCGAGATCATGGACCACGTGCAGTGCTGCCAGGAGTAGCACGATGCTTTTGACTTTCATGCAGCTGCTCCCACTAATGGAAACACATCTGGCTCGACGCTTGGGTGACCATCTCCTTTCTGCAGTGGGTTCTGCAATAAACTGAAGATGCAAGACCGCCGCCTCGCAGCACGCAAACATCTGAAGTCACGCAGGAGCTTCCTCACCGGCACCCAACTTCTTGATGCCACACCAAGGAGACACGACTACAGATGTGGAATGAGAGGCTGAAGAAAACACCTGACAGTGGAAAAATGGACACTCCAGTGGCCGAGTCCTTGCCACCGGGGCGGATGAACCGTGGTCCAGGCGGTGATGTCTCAACCGTACCTGTGTACCGGAGGTGGATGCTCCAAGGAACCAGTGAAGAAGTGGGGTTATGCCACTGGTTCAACCACCTGTGACTGCGGCACGGAGCCTCAGACTATGCATCACCTGTTGCAATGCCCGCTGCTTGAAGGCACGTGTACGGTGAAAGACCTCATGAAATACAATACACGAGCACACGCATATGTAATGCAATGGCCAAACGTGGTGTAAGAGACACAAGAAGTGGATTGTTGCCCCATCAGCAGATCTCAGCCCACCTGGGACTTCCCAGGTGTCACTTTACCTTGGCCACGTGGCATCCCTTTGCATAAGGAGCCAGTAAAGACCTTCTGGGCTTAGAGGCACACATCCCAGCTCCGTGAGCTGATGGAGCAACTCAGCTATGCCTGTGGCGGACAGGGGAGAGATCCTGAATCCACCCCGTAGAGAGTAGCAGTCCACAAACATGAACCAGATCATTCCATTATTTTCATCCTTTTTGAAATAAGAAGTATATATTAAATGCCTAGTCGGAAGAGTTCATTTCACTCCCTAGCAATAACTGTAGCAGAGATATGCATGGGTATGATCAGAGCCTAGTACGTGTGCGTGTATTTGTGTGCGTGTGCATGTGTGTGTAACATGCCAGTGGTCTCAGATAGCCTGCCCTTCAAGGGCAGGGGCTATGTGCCCGTACATGCAGGCTAGAAGCCCTGGCACAAAGGAGCATGGCAGCTCCTGTGTGCCCAGCCAGTTCTGTAGTCCCATCTTCTTGCCATCTCGGCTGTAGTGCTGAGTCTTTTGTATGATGTCCATACCCCATTTTTCAACCCATTTTTGTTCTGTGTGTGGGCCTCAGAGCCTGCAACATCATTCTGAGTCTAGGGACTGACCACAGCCCTGCCACTGAAAAGAAAACTCAGTTAAAACTGCTCGTGCTTCTCAGATTTTGTCTTAAGACCACAGAAAGTTTCCTCACAAAGCCTTAAATCAGCCTGCAATCCAGATCCAGGTTCGCTGCAAAGACGTCTCTGAACAAAGACTGTACTTTAAGGGCTTGAAGCTGTGAGTGCAAGGTCTGCAGCACCTTCTTTTGGTATCAGTGGGCACTGAGAGCTGGCTGACCTCCGGTGTTTCCAAAACTTTCCAAGCCAGCCAGCTGTCAGTGGCGGCAAACCCTGAATCAGTCTTCACACTTTTTTTTTTTATGTATAAGTTAATGGTTTAATAACTTCCATATACAGAACCAAATTCACTGCTGGTGCTGCTTCCCTGAATGTGTTCCCAATGGAGCAAGTGATTGTTGATTGAATGCATTTAAGTAAAATGTTCCCCACCATCCCACTATTTTCAATGTCTTGCAAATCTTTACTGGGTTTACAGGGTTCAAAGCCAACAGACCACTTTTTCAGCATAGGATATGGACAATCATAACTGCGTTATTCCATACCAGTGGACTGCTCCATCTCTACAAGAGCCATTTTTTCTCCCAGGAAATGGATCTCCTCCTTCTACTCAATGAAGGGAACTTCACAGTGTTTCCAAGGCATATTTAAAATGGTCCGGACTAAGCAAGAGTTAGTCCTGGGAACAGACTGCTGCTAACCAGGCCAGTATCAGGTTTGCACTTCTTATCGGGATTTTTTTCCTACTTTGTGTATACCAGCATATCCCTCCTAGCCCATGGAGGATTTGCCATGGAGGATGGACCAGCCCTTGGAGGATTTGCAGCATACGCAACAGATGAAGGATTTGCAGAAGGAAATCTGGTGGAGTAGCAAGACATGACTCACCTTCCTATTGCTGCTACAGAAAGATTAGCAGAGTAATTTTATGTTCTCTATATTATCGGGGGCTACTTTACATCAAGATTTTCAGGTTCTGTGTTTTAGCATCCCAGGATTGTGCCATCAGAGGAGCATTGCGTCTTGTGAAGACACGCACCACATGACAAGGTTTATAGTCTATGTCGGTTCTCCCCCATTGATGGGGGGAGCTGCCTACCTTCCTGTACCCTGTAGTCTTGATCCTAAATGAAGGCAGGCAATCCTAAGGGAACAGCAGTCAGCATTTCTGATATGCTTCTTTGCTTTAGAGAAGCAGATACCACTATGAGACACTGTCACCTCACTGTGATCAACTCATGTGCTTTGATGGCTTTTAGCATGTAAACTCTAATGGACCAGTGAGCTCACACTTGAGACTTTCTCTTAAGTGCTTGGAGAACCTATTAACTAGCCTTGTGTCCCATTGTCTTAATGTTACTGTGTGTCTTTGTCTGACAATTGCCTACCTCTTGTCTTCTTGACAAGAAGGAAAGTGCTTTTTTTTCTGTTTAAAAAAAGAAATGATCTGAGCCACAGTATAGTCATATATGTGTTTTCCAGCATTTTTTTCTATAAAGGTTTTGTATAGTATATAATATTGATATTTATATCAGGTGCTGTACTAAGTTTTGGCTTTGAAATGTCAGTGTTCAAGCCAGGAGAAATGTGCACCAGCTTTCTTTGTGCTCAAAGCACTCCATTTGTTGTGAATGTCTCTTTAAAAAAAAAAATCTCACCTGCCAAATATATATATTTTTACAAAGAGCAAAAAAATGGGACAACAAGTGCCACTCCAATATTTGTTGCGCCTGTAAGAACTGGTAGGATTCCAAGTGTTTTCATCTGTTACTAATTAAAGAACCATCAATGAAAAGAAACCAAGAAATCGGCGTCTTCCGTTCTTTACTGATTAACTTCCAACAATGAGGCCATCATCATCAGGTTCGGTGGTTCTGCGAAGTTCTCTTGAAGAATTGGGTCTTCCTCTAGCATGGGTTGTAACTGTTTGAGGATTTTCCATATAGGTTCCAGGGAGGGATGGTATGGCATAATCCATCCAGGAAGAGTACAAAAGGAAGATATGGCATATCCCATCCTTTGGAAGAGTGCAAAACAACCGTGGATGCTCCCTCTGCCGGAAGAAAGGTGTTTGCACCCGAAAGCTTGCAAATAATTTTTCCAGCTATTTTAGTTGGTCTTATAAAAGATATCAGATTTACCCAAAGCACCCTGTCTAACTGAGGTGTAAGGGCTTTTAGCCCTATATCTTATTTAAAACGAATGGAAGAGTTACCGCTGGGTCCTGATCTTTCTCTCACCTCTCTGTAAGTCCAGAGCATCCCAGGGGAGTTTACCCAGCTAAGGCGGGCCTCTTCCATCAGTGAGAACGATCTATCCAGATTTTGTCTTGCTTTCTCATTTTATAAAGCACATCACCATCTCTAGATGAAAAGGGCCGCAAAGTATTACTTAACTTCATGCATTTAGCCACATTTACGTGGCCTGGTTTCAGCACGGTCCAGTCCCTCTCTATGCTGCTTACGTTAACAATGTTGTAACCAGGTTAGGAAGCAGTGTCACGAGAGCAGGTTGCATGACTGGCTGTTGTTTCTAATGACATCAAGGTTGTCTCCAAAGGCCCTATATTTTTTTTTTCCTATATTCCACTGGATGTAGCTGAGAAGAGATAGGTGTGAACGTTGATAATTGATCTTCTCATCTAAAGTGCTATCAAGATTTATTTCTGAAATCAGGGCTGTCCAACTTCTAAGACCCCAGGGGGCTACACTCAGTGTAGATGCTCCCCTCACCCACTGCTGCAGTATGTGGGCACAATCCCCACCACTTGCATGTGGCCCCAATCCCACCCTTTCCCCTAGGTGAAGCCCTGTACTCACTCTTGGCCTCCTGCATTGTCCCATCCCCTGGGACAAAGCGGCAGCCATCGGGAGAGGAAGGAGCCTGGAGACTGCAATGGAGGGGAGCAAGAGCTGGGTGAGATCCTGAGGGCTACACATTAACCTCTTGATTATGCTTGTCTGTGATTTTCATGTGTTGCTGATTATCATTATCGTCATGCTACTCTCGATGGAAAAATGTGTGAGCGGTCTGACCATCCATGCAGTCCTTGTCCCTTTGAGCTGATGCATGTATTATAGTATGGATAAAAATGCTCTTGTAAAAGGAAAAGGCAGAAAGAATTCAGGTTCCCTTTTGCAAGTGATAAACTTGGGGCCTGATCCGGCAAAGGCTGACCCATGGGCTTAAATCTGCACGTGGTGAATCGTCTCATGGCACTGAACCTGCCCTATTCCTGTGCTCCAAGCTAAGGGCGTGTGCAAGTCTTTGTAGGATCGGGAGCTAGCATTGCATTGGTCTGACTGTAGGAGGTTGGCGGCACATTTGCAGTTCCCATAAAGAAAACTATGAGTAGAGAGAGTTAGCCATGTCCGCTAGAAGCCAGGGAGAAGGCAAGGTAGCACCTTCGAGACAAACTGGTTCATTGAAGCCTAAGCTTTCTCCTTCATCACTGTTATGGATGGACTTGCCAAAAGGCAGGGCTCGAAATAAGTGGGAATTTAAATATAAAGGACAGGGGAAAGAGTACTGCTGAGAGGCACAGTGGGAGGCTGGTAGGTCAATAGGGATACACAAAGCAGTTAACCCCTTGATGGGATACGAATCCAGAGTCTGTTGAGACCATACTTAACATAATCCAGTCTGTGGGCCCTATGAGGCTGTTAGCCAGGGAGGACTGTCTTCAGGCCAGCTTCAGTTCTTGAACCCACCTTCACCTCTCTCAGCAGTGCTCCCATCCTCTGTCCTTTGTACTTCTGCAAGCCATCCATAGCATCTGACAAAACAGGCTATGAAAATCCGTGCCTCTCTGAAACAGTTACTCTAAGGTTCGCTATCTTCCTGCCCTACCTTCTGTCAAAAAAGAAAACTGAACAGCCATTTTTCCAGGCCTGTAGAAAAATATCTGTATTTTTCTTTATTCCCCTTTTAGTAATGAGAAGCTGGTATGTACCTGGAGTAACAGGATTGATGTCAAGAGAGTTGCCTGGGATTCACACCAGAGGAACACAGGAGAAATCACTTGGCTTTAGATTCAGCAAAGACAGGTGTAGAGTCAAAAGTTTGGGGTCAGGGAGTCAAAGGTTTCAAGCATGCATCTAGGCACCCGGAGTTTCAATCCGTGCAGGGATGTGGATTCCCTGCAAGACATTTGGGTGAATCTGAAGTTCTCAAGGCCACGTTGAGCAAATGAATGCTACATCGCTAAAAAAGTCAGAGTAGCTTCCTACTTTCTGTTTGTGGCACGGATCGAGGATGAGATGGGGCCACAGGTGGGCAAGGATCAGTCATGCTACTGTAGATGTGAAGAGCCTTCAGCCGTGAGCCTAACCTTGTGCGTGTGGGCGAGTCATTCTCACAGAGGGATTTTTACAATCAACTTGCACCCTGGGAGGTTGTCCCAATTATTTTATGAGATGCTATTTTGCTTTTCTTCTGTGTGTTGCTGCTAATCCCATGGGGCCTGTGAGTGTTTCCCACTGCTCGGTTTTCCCAGTGACTACACACATTTCACCACTGGCCTATTGCGAGAAGCTGTAGCTTGAGGGCTATGCATTTTGCAGCTGAGGATGCCAGCTCTGATTTTAGTTTACAGTCTTGGACTCTGCAGACCAGATGGCCTCCACAGCTCATTAGAGCTACATCAGAGCTCATGCGGCAGCACAGTGCTTTATTTCAGCATGGGATTGTTCCCGGCTTTTTATCTGAATGGACAAAGCTGTGACATCGGTATCAGCCCTGTAAATCATGGCTGTCTCTCCTGTTATCGTAGCATTCGAGCTTTCATAGTCTTCTTACAGACAAGGTCCTTTGGGTGAATCCGATATCTTTTATTAGACCAACTTAAGTTTAGACCAACTTATTAGACCAACTTAAGTTGATCTAATAAAAGATATCAGATTCACCCAAAGGACCTTATCTGCCTAGGTCCTTAGACCAACATGGCTACAACCTACACCCCTGGCTTTTTACTACATTTATGTATGAAGAGCTAGGGGTGTAAGGAGCAGAAAGCACTGATGAATCCTGTTCAGCACTGGTGAGGCCACATCTGGAGTCCTGTGTCCAGTTTTGCCCCCCGCACAGAAAGGATGTGGACACATTGGAGAGAGCCCAGCAGAGGACAATGAAAATAGTTTGGGGGCTGGGGGACATGACTGGTTTCATAGTTGGTCGGGTCAGAAGTGACCTGAGCAGATCATCAAGTCCGACCCCCTGCCATGGCAGGAAAGAGTACTGGGGTCAAACGACCCCGGCTAGGTGATTATCCAGCCTTGTCTTAAAGCCCCCCAGGGTA